CCTATCCCCCTGTGTGCCTTTGGCAGTCTCAGACACTTTCAGGAAAAGTCACGGACTGGGAGACGTTAATATTTTATTGAAAAAAAGTTACATACAATAAAAAAACAGCTGCGGGTAAAATTTACCCGTTGGCGATTCTAGTGTTAAACTGGAAAACAGGAAATCTGTGCAAGCAGCAATATATCTGAAGAAACTATCATTTGTTGGAGTGGTGGTTCATGGAACATCCCATGTGGTGTGCACATTTAAACACTGGATCCAGCAGGCCGTTTTAACAAAGGTTTCACTGCTGTGGATGATTTTATCTAAATAAAAAAGAATATTTACAAACTATAAGCAGTCTTACAATAACCACAATAATCATAATGATAAATAAGGTTCAGTATTCCACTTACATCATTTCATGCATCCACAAGATTAAACTCTTTTCTTTAACACAGGTATTGGTCAAAGGGAATCTAGAAGGCAGATCTAACACAAACAAAACAGTCTGTTAAAGTCAAGCTAAACATTTCATCAACTGATTTAAGAACAAACAATTCAGCTCCATGTGCCAACTCACAGTTCCTTTGTTCTTCAGTCTCTGGTGGGGAGGAAGTGAGTGACCGGCCTGAAGGGCGGAGCTTTAAAGATTTTGGTGGGGGAGTGGTCTACACTTGATTGGCAGAGGTGGTGATGCAGGTTGAGAGGGGAGGGACTCGTGATTTCTAACAATATCTGAGTGCAAGCGTACAGTTTGAGCAGAAGCAGAGCAAATCTAAGCGCAAGGACAGGGTTTGACTGAAAGAAATACAAAATCTGAACGTGAAATCAATAAATGATCCTCTCAAATTGAAAGAACACACTCTTGAATAAAGATAGGGAATAAAATCCATAATAAAGTAGATTTAAAAAAAGTTTTATAGAGTAGAGAACAACATTAAGCTCACTGCGGGACGTTGCAGAATGTGTGTGTCCACCACGAAAAAGGATCCTCATTCACTTTACATTGGGGTTGTTTCCGTGGTGCCGACACGTAATTTAGCAGATTCCGTGTCCCCACCACGTAATGCGATGTTAAGGAGACGTGTTCATTTCACGTATTTTGGTGAGACCAGGTTGTTATGGGACGCCTTGCCCGCTGAAAACTGACGCTCGAGGGGTAGCCAGTGCGTAATAAGATGACTTGAAGGGGCCCTGACCGATCGTCAATATGTGACCAGTTGGGAGTGAGAATGTGTGGGAAACTGTTATAACACACAATTATTTGTTAAATAACACAGTGAGATTAACCAGTGTGTGCGTGCACTGATAGGTGACAGCATGGCCCCAGTTTGCTAAGAAGGTCTCCTCTTTACTCAACAATATTTTTTCTGCAATTTCTTTTAAGAAACATTTCATAAATTGCCCATATTCCTCTGTAAGAGTGCTGATGATACAGTATATCAAAGAAAACCATGTCTCATAACTGTGTGCGAGTGCTATCTTCCATATCCAGTTGTGTTAGCAAAAACAAAGCAATGTTATGATGAACACAGATGAAATAAAACAGATGACTGCAGGACAGTTGGGTTGAACACATGTCACATCATGGAGCAAACCTGCAGTCTTTGGCAGTAAAGTGATTCAGTCCTCTGCTCCTCAGGTCACAGCAGAGAAACACCAGGAGTTTACCTGCTGGTGTTTCTGAATCTGAAATGTCTGTCTTACTAAATGAAACCAAAGCTCAGTGTTCACTAAAAGATTATTCTGTCTCTGTTTCCAGGAGAAGATCTCTGAGCTGTGTGCAGAGAAGGAGGCTCTGAGTGAGAAGCTGAGAGCAGAGGAGGAGCGCAGGAAGCAGATCCTCACAGACAAGAACCTGGTAAAGATTGTCACTCCTGTCATTATGGAGCGGTGCGGGAACGAGTCTTAACAACGGAAATGAGTCAGCATTTTACCACTCTTGGTTACCTTGTCTCAAAGACAATGGTTTTCTGAAAGTGTTTTTGGTTGTTATCCTGACATAATCCTACACAAGCTGAAGAGATTTTAACCTTTTGTTCTCCGACATAAAATAGTTCAGGAAATACCCCACTGGTGAATGTCTGAAGTTTGTTTGTAGACATACAAACAAACAAATGACTGAATGAGAATACTTAATGTCATCACACTGAACAGCTTAGCCGGGGTGACATGAAGTCACGTGACCTGTTGTAGTTCCTTTGTAGCTTAACGTTAGCTTTTAACTTCTGGTGATTGCATTTGTGCTTAGACTTTCGTGTGTAAAAATATGGAAATCATCCTTATTTAAAAAAAAACGTTTAAGTATCCTAAACAATTTTTTTAAAGATCTTATTTTTTGCAATTTTTTTTTAAATCAAATGGAAAAATTCCATTGCTTTTTGTGGAGGGAGCCAATGTGATGCTCACTACCGTGTCGCTTACCAAGACATGTCATCACTGCACCACTCTGAAGCTTCCTAATATAGAGATAGTGGAGGGGGATAGAGACAGTTTGTTCTGCTCAAGAACGCCCCCTGCTGGTTAGGAAGGGTTACACATTCTGGGCCTCATGAAATGACCCGATCTCTAACCATATTATTGTCTCATTGTCTCTGCTGCTCTTTCCCCACAAAGGCATTGAAGCTTCACACTTCTCTAACGTGTGTGTTCTCGCAGAAGAACTCCCACACCGTGTACCTGGAGCAGGAGCTGGACAGTCTTAAGGTCGTACTGGAGCTCAAGAACAACCAGCTGCACCTGAAGGAGAAGAAGCTCATGGACATGGACAAACTGGTGGGCAATCACTCTTCCTTTATCACATATTATCACATGCTTCAAACAAACCCTGGAAAACCAGTCATAACACATCAACCTGAGAGAGAAGTTAAATCCACTGGAAATTGTGGTGTAATCCTGGAAAATGTACCTATTTTGGTTCAGCTGAGAATGAAGCTCAGGGCTCCAACAACATCTCAGCCTGTATTATGTTCTTATCCTTTTAGCTGTCATTTCTTTACGCTTTATTAGCATAGTCTGCAAATGTAAAGCTGCACTGTTTAGCAAAAATGTACCATATAATGACATTAACTTCACATTACGAGTAAATAATGGACATAAGTGAAACACCTGTAAGAGTCAATGGCTGTGAATACTCCCAGCAACTCATCACTAACTTTGAATCATACATTTTGGTAGGTTAACTTCTGTCCGTCCAGCCTGAACTGCCCATTTCCTGAAAAATAATGACTAGAAAAAAGTGGGAACTCTGCGTCATTTTAGAGTGCCGGTTTAGACTGTGATCCAGATCCTGTTTCAGAGGCTATTTCATTCTCTCAACACCTGATTACTTTCACTTGTTTGTTGTTTTAGGGAAAAAAGGTCATATATTGAAAGTGTTTAGAAGAATGTATGGATAAACAACCTCACATAAAACTAATGCTAACGTGTGTGTGTGTGTGTGTGTGTGTGTGTGTGTGTGTGTGTGTGTGTGTGTGTGTGTGTGTGTGTGTGTGTGTGTGTGTGTGTGTGTGTGTGTGTGTAAACATGAATAGCATCTCGTTATTAATATATAGTCTAAACTTGTTGAGAAGAATGTGATGTGAGAAGCAGCCACATGCTTGTTGTACATAATGGTGGGACATCCAGGTGATCGTCAGGACTTTAGAGTGTTATACTCGGTCGATAAATTTGGTATTATCTAGAAATGTTACACACAGTCAACTTTTCATATAGACTCAAATTTGGGAGCGAATGGAGACCACAAATGGTAATCTTGTGACAGATACCGACCTGTCTAAGCTAACCGATCAAGACACTGTTGACTTCTGTTTGTTCCGGTCATCCATGTCGCTGTGTGCGTGCGTGTGAAACCATGCATGAAAACCTTCTCTCGTCGCACAACAGGTAAGGACCGGGCCATCAGGAGCAAGAGGACAACCTGGAATAAATCTCGTGAGGACGTCAAAGTGTAAACAGAGGTTGACAGTGTGTGTGTATTAACTTTAGTCGTGAAACTTATCTAGACGATAAAGAAGGAAGGAGAAGAGAACCTGACCCACACAACATACTCCATCTCCTTTGTCTGTCGTAATTCGGAGTCAGTCACTCGGGATTCCCCTAAAGATGATTGTGTGGGTGTGAATGACCTCAAGTCGAACGGGTCAGGTGGGTTCGACGACATGCAACTCATATAAAGAAAGTGTTCCACT